GCGCCCGGCTCCGGGCGGGAGCCGCACGGGGGGAGCGGGTCTGAGGAAACAGTTTTTATTTGCTTAAAAAATAATAACGACAGAGGAGGCGGCGGCTGCCGGGAGAGGAGGAGGAGCTGCCGGGTTTGGAGCAGCCGGGATAACCCGCCGGCAGCGCCTGCTCCGCGCACAACTCCGGCTCTCCGGAGTCTGGCGCCGCGCAGCGAGCGCTCCCAGAACTTCACCGGCACCTCGCACACCCGGCCGGGCAGGAGGCGGAGGGAGGAGAGGCTTGGGATGCTTTGGGAATCACCGGTCGGCCGGGTGTTCACTGACGTGGTTGTCGCCGGTGGAGGTGTTCCTACAGCCAGCAGCGAGCTGACGGTCACAGCCGGCGCGGGAGTCTCGGCCCCGGCGCGCTCTGGGTGAGCTCGATCCCCATCGCGGAAAGGACGTTGGGATCCTCAGGGACCCGGCGAGGACGGCTCGGCCTGTCCCTGTGGCGCCGGCACGCGGAGCTCCGCGCTGCTCCGCACGATGCTGAAGAGGCTGACGACGGCGAGCAGCGCCAGTACCATGACGGCGGAGCAGACCGTGAACATGTTCCTGGTGCCCGTCTTGTAGTCGCTGTCGTGCAGGATGAGCAGCCCCAGGCAGGCGAGCAGGTTGAGGGGCACGCGGAACCAGTTCAGCACCCCCAGCCGGTCCTTCTCCGGGATCACCTTCCGCCGCAGGAAGCCCATGGCGGGGAAGTAGAGACCGCACGAGAGCTCGATGAGCAAGAAAGCCAGGAAGGACTCGGAAGGGCTCTCCTGGCCAGGGTTGGTGGAGAAGGTGAGCATGAAGAGGGAGAAGAAAACCATGAGCACGGAGAGCGAGAGGATGTGGATGGGCTGCAGGTGGTACCTCTTGGACGTGGCAATCCGGTAGAGGGAAGAGCCCACCATGCTGGCTGCCATGAAGCTGGAGAAGACGATGCCCAAGGGGGGGCCGTGAGGATCCAGCACAGGCGTCCAGAGGAAGATGAAGATGTAGATGACGCTCTCAAACAGAGCCTGGATGGTGCCCAGGAGCAGGACGCGCCGGTCCGAGAGGAGGCACTTCAAGCCATCCATGCACGTCTTGGAGAGCGCCCGCTTCTTCCCATAGTTCTCATCCCAGTTTTTCATGGCAAAGATGCCCGTGAGCATGAGGAGGGGGATGGAGACCATGAAGGGGGCCACCGGCCCCAGGCCCAGCCATTCCGCAACGCAGTTGGCCACGACGCCGGCGCCGACGGCGATGACGCTGTTCCAGAACGCGGCCCGCGAGAAGGTGGCCGGGATCCACTCCGCCGGGAAGTCGTGGCGCTCCACGTGCTCGTGGACGTACCACGCCTCGAAGGCGGAGAACAGCAGCGCCGTGGACAAGCCGCCCAAAATCCTCCCGACCACGAGGACGAAGTAATCCCAGGAGAGTTTGGTGAGGCAGCAGATGGAGTAGGTCAAGGAAAAGAGGATGCAGGATTTTTTCCGGCCCAACCAGTCCACCAGGGATGTGGAGACCAGCCCGAAGAGGACGCTGGAGGCAAAACCGCACACGTAGATGATGGCGATTTGCCCCTCCAGGAAGCGGTAGTGCTGGTAGAGCTTGTAGAGGTAGGG